AAATAGCAGCGCTGGTGCTTATAGTCTTCATTGCTGATGACACGCGCTTTTTTAAACTTTTCTTTTTTCACCTGGCAATACTTTTGCCTTTCTGAGTATCAGTTTGATTTTTGAGGAAGGCTCAGGTTTATCTGCACCGCTGTAATACCTAGTGTACCAGTGTGTACTAAAATAAGTCCTTACATTTAGGAATTTTGAGGTCGAGAAACATTTTTGGAACATCAGGCAATGTGCAAGGTAGTCCACGGTGCAAGCAGGTTGGCAGGATTGTTCCCAGTGAGGATCCTGGTTAAGATCCATTTATTTGTAACATTGTACAATACTGTGTAAATGTATCCATCTTGTGATTCTGGTAAATATTTTTTCTCCTTTCTGATGAAAAAAAAGTCAACCTCTGATAGAGGTTTTAGTGATACTGTGATGGTGCAGGATGCTGAGCTACATAGAATCTTGAATCTACAACCTTATGGGATTTTTAAAAGACATTTCTGCACCTGGTCCTTTTTAAAGGTGATAATGCCAGCATGAGCAATTTAAGTTCATGTGTGGAAACTATGATGATATCTGGCTGGGATATGGTGACTTTGTCTGAGGGGTGTTTTTCTTGTCCGGAATCATGTGATCTGGCCTATGGAGACTTAAAATTTTAAAATTAATACGATTTTAAGGTAGTACATTTTTCTAAAATCGGAAGCATTTGATACTTTTCCTTTTACCAGATGACCCTATTCTAGTTTGAGAAGGTGTTCAGCTTGATTCTCTAAAGCTTGCTAGTGAATCCATTGCATTTTGATTACCTCTCTCCATGCTGTGATGAAATTCAGATTGTTCTCATTCTTGATAGACTCATTCCTTAGTCCACCTTGTACTGTTTTGCTTCACAACTTGTGGCTTGCTATTTATTTTGATCTTTGATGCTTTTCTTGTTTGCGTGTTTGCAAGACAAAACAAAGAATGTCTTCTGTGTTAGCAGGTAGTTACTCCTAATTTTACAAAAGACTTGTCAGTAGAATTGTGGATCAACTGACTTCAGAGGATCCTTGTTTATTTTCTGTTCCTTTACGGTATAGTGTCACAGCCAAAATGTTAAATACTTACTAATTTACTTAATACAGTGGCATGTTTTCAGCAAGCTTTATTAGAAAAGACTCTATGCCTTTTGTCTGGAATGCCTGGTGACAAAAATACAGTTTTCGGTCTTACTCTGCGAGAACCAGTATCAACTAGCTCCAGCGTCCATTTATAGTCTTCATGAGCTACCTGTGGGTTTTCCAACTGCTGTAGGTAATTTGACTACCCGGTAAGCAAGCAGGCTTTCTAATCCTTCTGAGCAACAGAGGAGGACATCCAGTTCCAACTGAATGCCATCATCTTGAATGCCCTGCCATATACCAAGTATATCTGACCGACCTTGCTGTAAATTGTTGTCATGTATGTTGTAGGGATTAAATAAACAAAAATAACAATCTCTTTGTAAAAAGTCCTGTGGGTTAAGGGAAGAAAATTAATATTCTGGAACAGGAGTGTAGATCTCTCCTGTTAGTAACAAGCTGCTGCATACTCTCCAAAGGATGCCTTAATCACCAGTTGTGTGCTGCTGTGGCAGGCGGAATGCCTCAACAAACATCAGAGTAATGGGCATCAGCAATACAGAACCCTATAACCTGTCTTGTTCCATCGTCACAAGTGGGACTGAAGATTTATGGAGCAATCACCCTCAGTCTGTGTAGTGTTTTCGGTGTAATTTGACAGTATTTTTTTGACAAATGAGAGGAACTTTGTCAAAGAAGTGTTTGTTCTGCTTGTGGTTTGGGATAGCGCTTGACAGTTGTGGCCAAAATGTCTTTTGGTCTGGGTTTGGTTGGTTTGTTGGTTTGTTTGGGGTTTTTTTTGAGGAAAAACCAGGATGTGGAATAAAGCACTTTCCAGGCTGCTGCTTTTAGCTAAACCAGCAGTATTTCCAACAGTTCAAGAACTGGAATCCTCTGCCTAAATTACTTAGCATAAACTAGTGACTTCTCTGTTAAGAGCAGATGTACAGCCCAGTTAATAGGTCACAGTAGCAGAATGAGGGGGCTAAATCAGACATGAGCTATCAGCTGCAGAAGTACAGGCCAGATTTATCAGGGTGACCTTGAATCACTGCAAATGGAGCCTCTTAGGATACTGCAGCTCTGCTGTCAGGTAATACCTGTTTACACTATAAATATCTTCAGAGAATTAATGTTTTGGGTCCCTATGCTGGGGCAGGCAGAAACTTCCCCAAGATGCAAGAAGTTAATTAGTGTTTCATTAGTTATTGTGCATCCCGCAGGATGTTGTGCCACAGAAATAAAGATTAAATTAATTGAAAGAAAGCCAATGGAAAACTGTCAATGCAAATATGATCATACAAGAATTTTATCTTTTTATGTATCACTCTTCAAATACTTGGCCACCCAGTATACATGTTAACTTCTGCTATTTTAATTTGTTTCAGATATTGCTGTTAGAAGTGAGGAGGGAGAGAAAGAGAGAGAGAGAGACAGCATAGCTAAATGAAGACAGCACTGGGGGTCCAGTGCTCGCCAGTTGTCAACTTGTAGCAAAAGGACAAAAAATTTCAGATGATCTTCTCATGTGAAGGATCTAATCTGGTGTGAGCCAGGGACCATAGCAAGAGGAAGCTGGAGGAACCGCAAACTCTTCAGATTACTGAAGTACAGCAGGATGATGGTGCTCATCAAAAAGGCATTAAAAGATCTGAGACAATCCACATACACCAGTATTATAGTCTGTTTGGCATCTACCTTCTGAAAAATATTTTTAAGCCTTAACGTTTAGTCTACTAATTGCTTAAGGTTTCTTTTCTCCTCTGTTGGAGGTGTTGTATTAGATGTTGCAAAATAAAAGCACTGCTGGCTTGCATTAAAACTGCCATAACTTCTAATGAAATACTGTTCTTTTCAAGAGTAAAGAATTATTTTTTTTCTTTTTAGTTGACATTTTGACTCAACAGACACAAGGGTTTTTTTATCATGTTGACTGAAAATAAAGTGATTTACAACAAATCATTATTGTCACTTGCACTTGTTTTGGTGATGCCTTCACTAGGATATCATCCACAACCCCCAACGTGAGTCTGTGTTCTGTTGTGCTGGGTACTATGCAAACCTTGGGGAAATACCCAATCCCTGATTAACAAGTTGGATGTAAACTGGTGGTTCCAATTTGTTGTGATGTGCTTCAGTAGTAAGTGAAATCATCTTTATACGTGAAGTCATATGGATGGTGTTTCTTTACTAGCTTCAAGCAGAAGCTGTTTAGAAACATTCAGGTTATTCGGAACATGGCTGTTAACCTGCACACTTGCTTTGCCCTTGCAAAGGGTTGGAAAGTTATAAAACTCTCTGCAAAAAGGAGTATATAGCAGGGATAGGAGTTCGGGGATGGCGGTTCAGAGGCAGCAGTGTGCAAGGGGGAAGGCGGAAAGCTGCAAGATGATGTTAACAAAGCTCAGGTCCAGGAGCCACAGGCCTGAATTTAATGTGTTCTTCAGGTACTTGCTCTTAGTCCCAAGTCAGTGGCTGGTGAATATTTTTCTCAACTGCTTGGTTTAAAATTGGCATCTTTTTTGCATAAAATGTTCAGAGTATGGTAGGTTAAAAATGATAATTTATTTTGTGTGGCAGCCCTGTTCTTTGAGCCATAAAAAGCTCTTTCAGTCTGAGTTCTGCACCAGCAAAGGCAACAGCGGAAGGAATGCCAGTTCTATCAGAATAGGTTTTATATAAATAGGCTTTTCTGATTTAGAGCAGAGTTTCACCCCCACTCCCACCCCCGATAAGAAAAATACTCCTTTAGCATATCGTAGCCAGTCTAGAAAACCCTAATGCTGCAGATTTGTGCATTTTGTTGGGCTAACCTGTGTGGATACTGGAGATCCGAACTGGTCTATTGTGTGTCCCTGGAGTTTTTGTTCCATGGAACTGAATATTTGTCAGCTTCCATGGTAAGACCCACTTTGCAGTTGGTTAGGTGACGATTCCTTTTGATGGCAGTGCTGGCTTATTGCTGGTGGTGCTAGTGCTGCTTCTGCAATGCCTCCTTCAGTGCTGGTAAAACTGCATGGCTATATGGAGAACTGGATCAGGAAAATGACTTGGATTTTTTTTTTCCTGTCGGCTTATTTTTATCTCTTAAATTATGTAATTATTCCATAACTTGAGTTTTCTGCTTGGATTCTGTCCCAGACGATTGTTAAGATTCGGTAGCTATGGGGAACATAGAAGCAGCCATTTTTCTGTAATATGTGCACTGTAGCACAGTAAATGGAGAAAATTTCATCAGTCTTTTGTGGCTTGGGGATGGGGTGTGGGAGTATGCCTTATTAGACATCTCCCCAAAGAGTGAAAATTGTATGTAGATACTCTGAACTATCTATAGTGAACAGCGTTTGGAGCTGTTGCTTTGTGTGGACATGCTGAGTCATTTCAGAACAAAACGCTTCTAAAATACTGAACGATAGACATCCAGCTCTCTGGTGTCCTATGGGCCTTTAGACTACTTTTCAGATATAATCTGAACACCCATATTCCTTTCTTGTTTGCATCCAGATTATTCTTCTGCAACTTCTTCTTTTGTGCATAGAATAAACTACTCTGCTTCCTTGGAGTTTTCTTAATGGCTTCCCATGTAATCCTACTCATGGATGCTCACTGTCTTCCAAGACGAGCCTGTGAAAAGCGAGCTATTTTGCAGTGACTAGTCAATAAACTAGATGCAGTGTTACATCACGCTTTGGTAAGTTATAACAGCAAAGATGCTGGTCTTCAAGGCTACTCAAATGTCCATGATCCAGCCATCACAGGGAGTCAGAGGATTCCATACTGAGTTACATGTGAATGTATGAATATTGCCTTTCAACATCTGATTTTTCAGATCATGTCATGAGGCAGAACTATAGCTTACTGAATTTCCTTTTGTGGGCATTTTTTTAGACTCTTAAACCTTGAGTCTCTCCTGTGTTGCAGCTTGTATAGTGACCTACTTGTATCTTTCAGATAAAGAGAAGGAGAAGATAAAGCTTGAGGAAGATGAGGCAGCAGCTGCCAGCACTATGGCAGTCTCGGCTTCCCTTATGCCGCCCATTTGGGACAAAACTATTCCTTACGATGGCGAGTCTTTCCACCTGGAGTACATGGATCTGGATGAGTTCCTGCTGGAGAATGGAATTCCTTCCAGCCCTACTCACCTGGATTTGAACCAGAATCCACTCTTGCCTGTGGCTGAGCTGGAAGGAAAGGAGTCTGCCAGTGCTTCCACTGGTTCTCCTGCATCATCCTCTTCCACTGCAGTTTACCAGCAATCTGAAGCAGCCTCCAGCACAGGTAGATGGAATAATTTGGGTCTCTGAGGGACTTTTATTGTTCTCATATTAAAAGGTACCTTTTTGGATGAAAGAGGAGATGTGTTAACCTGACAGTGTTAGCTGTGGCAAGTTAAGCAGTGCAAATAGGCTCAATATAGAGCCTTAGTCCATGTGTGGATTCATGAAGATGCTGCCTCTCCTCTTCTTTCCCTCTCCCCCTCCTGGAAAAAATGAGTGAGTGTCTCTGTGTGCAGTCTGTTTATCTTGTGAAATTAGAAGAGCTGAAACACCAACATAAAGTATTTGCTTTCATGGTATTGCTAATCTAGTGAGAAGCTGGACATGTTGAGAAAATAGTTTATCATGTTATTTTGTCACAAACTATCAAATATTTTGTAAGTCGTTTGTGCTACCTTGGTGGCTTGATCTGCTTGGGTGAACTTAACACTCACTTAACGTACCTCAAATAACAATGCTTAACAGAAGAACAGTGAAGCAATCTTTTCATGCTAACCAGTGAAATGTGAGGACAGACGCTTGGAAAAGGTGTGTTAATGATGCAGTTTGATGTTCTGTGGTGCTATGAAGTGGGAATAGAAGAGCAAAGAAACAAAACTGCTTAAATGGTACTAGGAAACTTCTACTCTTCATTTGTAGTATGGAGATCTTCTCTGTTAAAGAATTTAGGAGCTCAGTTTGCCCTGTGTTTGGAGTTTAAACATGATAGCCACTAAACTTTCACAGTACTATTTTATAAGCAGACTTCACAGAAAGCATTTTACTCAGGGTGTCTTCTGTGAATCTGTGAGAGAAAGGCAAAATGTGGAACTCCTTCAAAAGACATAGGGCGTGGCTTTTTTCTAGGTGGTATATGAAAAAATGTATTCATTGATCACTACTTCAAGTTTCACTGACATTTGCAATTCATGTGTATGAAGTTTGTAAACAATAGGTAAATATGACAAAGTTCATTTGAACACTGTCAGTGTCAGACAATCTGTTGGCACATTTGTTTCCATTGGTGAAGAAGTAGAATACTGTCACACTTGTAAAAAACCCATCTCCTTTGTTTTGGAAATACGATTGTCTGACCTTTGAAGGTCCCAGGGACGGGGGTCTTTGGGCAAACTTGGTTCTATAAAAGGCTTTCTGTGATACAAAACTCAGTCTGATACAAGTTTCTCACTTCTTACTGCTGTGGAAGGTGCTTCTTAAGTGTGCAAGGTATGTAGTTTTTGCCAAGCAAGTATTAACTCTTGTCCCGCATCTATCTACCCAGGCCTGTTAGTCTGGTATATGTTCCTAGGCTTTATATCACAAACTGGACTGTGTAGCTTCTCTCTGTACCGGCAGCTGTACAGCACCAAGCACACCTTAGGGAAATACCAAATAATACTGTTAAATACTGCCCACAGTGGGACAATAAATAGAGATATCCATGCTGGCTTCTTAGTAAATTCTCTTCGTCTTGCTGAGTGTGTTGTAACTTCCTCTGTTGTTGCCAGAGTCCCCACCACAAAATGAGAGAAATACTCCCAGCCCCATTGATCCTGACTGCGTAGAAGTCGAGGTGAATTTTAACCCTGACCCTGCTGATTTAGTGCTGTCCAGTGTGCCTGGTGGTGAGCTCTTCAATCCTCGCAAACACAAGTTTACTGAAGAGGACCTGAAACCACAACCAATGATTAAAAAAGCCAAGAAGGTTTTTGTCCCAGATGAACAAAAGGTAACAGATTTATTGCTGCAAACTTCTCTAGGCCTTGGTCAAAGTTTCTGACTCTTTGTCCAAACCTTTTGACATATAAAGCTGATGTGCTATACCTACGTGATTGGGCAGGACCACTGCCAAGAATAGAATTGGCAAGTCAACTGCTGTTCTTGCTGTTTCGCTGGTTTGGTATCATGAGGTAATTACTGAGCAGGAGAAACTTATCATGCTGTACACAGAAATTAGAAGTAGAAGAGCTATCAAGCCACGCCCTCATCAACTGCACTTTATGACCATTGTATATATTTGCCCAGCATTGTGTCTGATCTGGCATTAAGCAGCCCAGACAACAGAACAGCTTGTTTTCTGTGGAAGTTCATTTCCGAGTTGAAACTAAGTAAAGGGAGCATTTCAATTGGACAGCTTCTTAGTTGTCAAGTCTCCTAATCTCCCCAGTTCTGGCAGCACGCTTGGTTTATCCTAAAACAAGACTCGTGTAAGGATGAAATCTTACAGTACTGTGTTCCTGCATTTTGGTGTCAGAGCCCTGCAAGCCAGTGAAGGAGATTCTTCAATATAGCAGTTGGTGTGAATGTCTTTATACAATAAAGAGGTGTCTTTGATATAATTGTCAGGTTGGCATCTTTTTTTTTTCCTCCCTTTTTTGCTATAGGATGAAAAATACTGGACAAGGCGAAAGAAGAACAATGTGGCAGCAAAGCGTTCCCGTGATGCTCGGCGATTAAAGGAGAATCAGATCACAATTCGGGCAGCCTTTCTTGAGAAAGAGAACACGGCCCTGAGGACGGAGGTTGCAGAGCTGCGCAAGGAAGTGGGACGATGCAAGAACATTGTTTCTAAATACGAGACCAGATACGGACCCTTGTAAGCACACCCCTTTTCCTTGTTAGGGCTCCTTGTTTTAGCCTCGTAGACTTCTCTGCCTTCTGTAGAGATGCCCAGAAATCAAGTTTGAGGAGGCTTTGCCATTTTCCATCTACACAAAAAAACCCACCAAACCTTGTTTCTGTTGGCACAACTTGTTCAGGCCCTTTCCTGATCATTGTGGTGCCCAGAATCTTAGTGTCCGTATTTACAACTTTGTTTTTAACACTGATAGAGCATTTCTGATGTCATACAATAGAACAGATTGACCTGTCTGGAGGAATAGATGTGGATCCCTCCTGACCGGACAGGGCTTTTGCTATCTGTTCTAATTTTCATTTTAAGTGGAGAAAGAGCCTAGGAGACTCTCCTTGCTTTTTTTTCTTTTTAAACTCCTGCTCTTTTCTCCCTCTCCACACCCATCCCACCCCTCCGAGTCAAATTGTCAAACATAATTTTAAGATATAAGTAGATGTTGCTGGGCAGCATCATGAAACTATTTCCTTTCACATTCAGAGGCACTAGAAAGTACCTGTTGTGTAGAACTCTGTTCCTATTGAAGAGGAATAGGGGAACCTTTAGGACAGGAAGACAGGAAAATATTCAATCTCTTGTGAAAACTGAGGTATCTCGAGGTTAATGCACGAGTGTTATGCAGACTAGAGTCAATGCAGTGTTGATTAAGATAACTGCTCAAACATCTTGGTAGGTTTTAATCCTGGATAACTGCCAGAAATCAAGGAAAGAGAACAGTAGGGGAGCTCTCACTATACAGATAAGGACAAAATAATTTGCTGTGGATTTTAGGCTGTATTTCTACCACCACCCATCCTTTCTTTTCCTTAGAGGGACTTCGCTCTTGAACTGCTGAAAAAGCAGCTTGTTACACTTAACTCCGAAGTAAGGGAGATTTACAAAAAGAGGTCTGGCTCATTAGGCTGAACTTTGAGTCCCATCTGTTAAGGAATTGTGATTACCTTGTGCTTTGGAAGAAGGGGTATTTTTAAGAAGCAAGCAAGCCACTGTTATTTTACTGCACCTTGCCTGTTGTACAAGAGCTTGAGAAAGAGTTTTGGTCCTTTGCCTCATGAACACTGTATGGAACAAGCTACACCCACTCAAAACATGAACAGTTTACCTCAGTATCTCCTGTGTAGCAGCATTTCTGGTCTCTCCATGCCTGCTGGTTCTCTCCCCAGCATGTTTCCTGTTACAAAATTAGCCCACAAGACTTGCCCTCTTGGAAGTAATCCATCCTCAGCATTAAGTGCTGCTTCAAGAGTACGTTAAAAGAAAAAAACATGTTGTTTGTGATGTTGGGACCTTCTACATGACCTACAACTGCAAGAACCAGAAGCTTTAACAGAAGTATTTGTCTAGAAGTCCTCTTAACAAGAGAAGCTGTCTTAAGATAGTGGCTGTGTCAGAACTCCTAGGCTATGCTTCCTGGGCAATTATTTATATTAGGGAGTAAATGTGGGATAGAAGATGCTTAGGCTAGTTTCCAGTTCCCCTATTGAAATCTGAAAAGTATATTAAAAAAGCATTGGAGTTTCTTTTCTATACTAAAGACTTCCTGTCTAGCTTGTCTTTTAAACGTAATGTGGTAATTGGCATGAGTTTAGACCAATTGTGTGTTGAATTCTTTACAAAGTGGAGAAGCAGGCTAATCCAGAGTGCTTAAAGTAAATGTATGCTTTGAATGATCTCCCCCTCTGTTATGCTCTTAATTTGACTAGAATGGCTCTTAATACAGTGTTGGTCTAATTTCTTTCGAACGTACTAAAAATTTGTCACCCTTTCAGCAGGGGTTTTTCTTTCACAGGGTGGTGTGTGGTGGTGATGGTGGGAAGTATGTTATAAATAAATAGTCACACTTAACACTTTGCTTTGTTTAAAGTGACTTATCTGATTCCGAGTGATGCAACTTTAAAGACTTTTAAAAACAAAGAAACTAAAAAGCACATATGAATCGCCAGTCTTCAGAGTGAGCAGTGAAATCTGAGGTGTCCCAACACAAACAACTGACGATGACCCTGCCTGCCTGCTTGCCTGCAAGTACCCCATCTGAACTACCCAGGGCTGGGCATGATGAAAAGTGCAAAGTCTCCTTAATTCTGTATATGGCTTTCTTATCTGTCTTTCTCACTGTAACTATGAACTACAATAAGCTTACTTAATGGGGTTTTGTCAAGACACTCAAAGTTCATGTCTCAAAGTCTGTTGACAGCCTGTGTGAATAGTGACTCTTTGTTTTGGCACTCGAGTGGAAGAAAATAGGGAGTTTTGAATGAAAGTGTTTGTATATATAAAGAACTGCTATATTTTAAGACTCTTTTCCATGCAGTAGAATGCATTTTATTTAATGCTGCAGCTCACTTCTGGTACAGTGTAGCATCTTGTGGAGTACTGTGAATGCAGAATTAAAGACACCGGGAAAGTGTGGTGTGTGACTCTACCAGTGAGGAAAAGTACAGCAGGTGTATTGAAACAATCCAGAAAGCACCACAGTGTGCTGTAAAAAGAGTAGTAATAAACCTCTGTCAAATGACCCACGTAATAGTAAACACTTTGGTTGCTTTCCTGCTCCACAACTACACTGCTGAAACCTGCCTTTTCCTTTGTTTCTTTTATGAGGCTCGCTTTCTTTTATGGTGTCTTGCTGGAACAAGATCTATTCTTCTGTTAACAATTTAGCAACCACAGAAAAGGTGCTAGTCTGAGCTGCTGATCCCCATGTCTTTTGGCAGTCTGAAACTACCAAATGAGTATTAGTTCCAGCAAAACGATGGCTATTAGCTGCCATATTACAATTTTCTGTCTCTTGACTATGTGAGAACTGTGGTGGCGAATGAAAAAAATTTCTGTTTATAAAACAGAAACAGCCAATGATTTCTCACAGTTACAATGGGCAGCTTAAGTATCAAGACCCTTGCGCTGGTGTGGGAGAGTCGATGAAAGCTTGGACAGATTGTGGGGATGTTTATTGTGTGTAGAAGATGGAGGAAGTAGGTGGAAGTTCTTTTGTAAGTTTCACCAGCATAACAAGTATCTACTCTTATATTGAGGAAGCTTAAGAGCTAAGTTTGTGTGGGAAGAAAAAGAGTACCTTAATTTCTGGGAAAGTAGTACAGGGCTACCATGCTTGTAGCCAAAATGGAGCTTGTAAGACTGAAGTGAAAGATGATCAGCGTATTCACGCCTGGAGATTGCTAAACAGCATACACCTCAAGAAAAACAATCTTGAAAGCTTTGAGAAGCACAAGTGCTGAAATTGAGGCACAACTAGTTACCAGCAAAGCTTGACACTGTCATGTTGAACAAGTGTTTTGACTTAGCATTTACCAGAGATTCCACCCTTAACTTCAGAGCAGAAAGGCAAAGAGAAAAAGGTGCAAAGAAGCAGCTAATGTTGTAAACTTCATTTAAAAAAAAACAACAAAAAAACAAAAAACAACCAACCAACCAAAACAATTAAAAAATCTCAAACCCCAGAATTCATAACCAGTTTTCTGAAGGCATAACCTTTGTAAAGAGTATATATGTTAAATGCAGTCATTTGACCTGTTACTTTTAATGGACCATGTTCTGAAGTCAAGAAAGTGCTTTTAACTTAGTATATACTTATAATAGTACACTCGTAAGTATACTTATATATAATTTGGAATTCTAAAACTGAGATAATTTGGAATATTCTCTTTAAATAAATGAGTAGTTTAGCTCCATGTTGCTGAAATGTCAGCATATATCTCTCTTCTGTATCAAGTATTGCTGATTTGGACTGATATTTTTGGTATGTACTGGGGTTTTTTTGGTGATAAAGGCCATACCATGGTTTTATTTAAAAAAAAACCACAACCCTGACAGCATGTAAACGTAGCAACTCTTTTTGCATTTATCATTTCTACATTTTCAGTTACCTTTGGCTGTTCTTGAAAGTCATACTTCCTGTTTAAATCACGAAGCTAAAGGGTATTATAACTCAGCAAGGAGTTGCTAGTCCTTCATTTCAGTCTTGCTGTCTTATTGCTTTAGGAATATCTTTTAAATACTTACATATTGTATATAGGATTTGGTTTTGCAGTATGTCATGCTTTTTTAACAGCAAAATATTCAGTGAGAACAGTATGTGCAATTCTATTAGCTTCTTCTGTTGTATTAAAACCCTATACAATGGAAACTAACAGTGAATGTTCATTAGATCTTTCTTTCAGAGAAGACTGTTAGCAAACTCTTGTGCTTTCCTGTAAGACAGTGCAAATTTGCACATTCTGTGATTAATGTGTCTACGGGTTGCAAAACTGGAAAATTGCACTTTAGGGTGAGTGCAGCTTAACTGTTGGAGGTTTTTTTTTGTTAAGAAGCAGCATCTACAAAGATAGGTGAGAAGGTAGTAACTATTTAAAGGTGTAGGTATTGCTAGACAAAAAATTGCGTGCAATGCTCAATTCCTTTCTCAGTTTTTGTAGTCTCAGGAAGTTAAGCTTACTGCTTCAGAGCTCTGTGCTCCTCTCAGAATGGTTAGCTATATAATCTTGTTTCTTTGACTAGGATAACAATCCTATCTGTAAGTGATAACTTGGGTACGTTTTCATAGTGGTCATAAGACCAATATTCTTTTGGCTTAATTTGAACATTAAAAGATATTGAATTGACACTGTTAGAGCCTCAAGTTCTGTAACCTTGGAACATGCTCTGTAGAGGCCATAAGTGTGCCTGATGCCAGTGTACCCCATTCCAGCCATAAAGGGACCATCTCCAAGGGGAGACAGTAAAGGGAGTGCACCTTTCAGCATCACCGTAGGGATTGCCATTAAAGGGAGCAGTTTTTGACACAGCTGTACATTCATCAGGAAACAGTTTGACACCAAACAGCCATTTCACAGTACAAACTTTGAAAATATATAAACTGTTGATGAGATTTGTGGGCAATGAGTGTTGTCTTATTCTACAGAAGAAACAGACTATGAATAAATGATGTGCAACACTTAATACAGTATTGCTTTCATATGTGGTCTTATAATCTGCACATAGTTATATCTGCTTATAATAATGCAGTTTTGTATTTTAAAATTCCCTAGAAGCTTAATCTTTCACCTGTTGCCAAGATCTGCTCCCACTGAAGCCAGTAACAAAGATCTCATTAACTCCTACAGGAAAAAGTCTTTACGCTCACGTGGTTATCGTCAAGTTTTAGCAAGCACTGCAGTCATGGGTGTCTCTGCTTTATTCTGGAGTGTTCTATGCTGCGATCAGGTGGATGTATCTCAGATTGCAGGTGTCATGTTGGTGAACTGTCCTATCGCTTGTTCATTTACACAGTTAGTGATAGTTTTGATATTCAGATAATCTGAATTTTGCTTTCTCCCCCCCCCTCCCCCCCGGTATGGGCAGGGTGAAAAAGTAGTGTACTATAAACTTTGCCTAGGAGAAGAAATTTTAAAAAAAAGTTAAATGTGGCTTTTTGCAGTTTTTTTAGTAACATTTTGTGTCTTTTCTGACAATGCTCCATTTCCCTGCTGTGCTGTTTGAAAGCTCAAGGTGTTCTAGATGTAGAAATCACTTTCAGCATTATTTGCAGGACTGCTACTAATTGTACCAAATTAATTTCAAGTTGGGAGGTGCAATAGAAGGTCAGCAGCTTTGAGAATACTGTAATAAAACCACTTGTGAGGAAAAATATTTTTGTATAGACAGCAGAAATAATGGACTTGCACAGAAGAGAATATTGCTGCTTCAGCCTTGTAAGCCTCCTCAGCATAACAGGCTTTGTTCCTTGTGATCAGATACCTCCACTCTCACTAAAAATTAAGGTATCTCTGACCTTTGTAAAATCCTGGTAGACTTTTGTTCACTGTTACGGTTTTAGCTGCTAAGCACAAGACGAGAAATGCAAATTTGTCTTACTGCATAAGTCTTTCTTCTTTTTTTTTTTTTTTTTCAACCTACATCTAAGTCCATAAACAACAAAATAATCTGTTAATGCTAGTGTTCTGTCTCTGCAGAACTACAAGACACTGGCTGGCTTTCTAGATTTTCAGATAATTACTCTGATCTGTTTATCTGCCACTAACATGGTTAAGATAGATGAACTCACAGTGAAAGACTTGGAAAAAGGTAGAAGGTATGGGCTTAACTAATCTTCTGTGGAGTTGCTAACATAATGCTAATTGAGAAATTACAAGGACTTAATTCATGATAATGCAGATTTGTCATACAGAATGTAATTTGTTAGTCTGATAGTGTGCTATTCCCTAGTGAGTCCCTTTTGGAGTGCAAACTTCTTAAAGTTTAAGCAGCCACAGGGGAAAAGGAATCCTTTGAGGAAGACATATGTAGAGATAAACATATAGATACTTGGCAAGGAGAGTGAAGAATGAAAGCATGAGGAGTAGAGTAATGCAAGAGTCTGACCTGAGCCAGATTGCTAAAACTGAAGCCTTGCTGTTTACAATTTTAGGACAATCTGAATCTGCTCAGTTTAGCATTGTCCAGAAGATATGTACTTGTTTAGGTTTTGAGAATCTCTTTTTCTTGGTCTCATTTCAACAGTCCAGAAGAAAGTGAAAGGAATATACAGACAGGGAGGAGAGTTACTGCAGAAAGGCATGAAAAAATAGCTATGACTAAGTGCACTGTTGCACTGGGACTTGACCGATGTGAACTGATAGTGCTGTGTCGTGAGAAAATTACTATCTGAGGCCCCCAAAATTTAAGGCCTCAATTCGACTGTCATTTCTGTGTGGGATGAGCCCTGTATCTGTAGAGAGCTACGTGGGCTTCACAGGATCTGTTCTTGAGCGTGAAGCTCTGCCCAGGCAGTCAGCTGCAGAATTGTGTCCTTAACACATGATCAGTTGTAGTTAATAAGGCTGTTGATATTAAGTGTAATTTGGGTGCCTATTACATAGCCAAAACCCTTGTTAACATCATTTTTTCAACTAAGGCATGAGCAGAAGCCCTTTGCTGTACAACATCTGTAAAAAAAAAAATTAAAAAACGTACTTCACATACATCTAGTAAATTAAGGCATGTGATTTTGGTCTGTGGGTCTCAACAAACTTTGCTCGTGTACCTGCCTGAATGTTTTCTTAGATCTGCAGCTATGTCTCAGTGAGAAGGAATGGTGGGATTTGTTTTCCTGAGGAGGCACGATAGCAGCTCTCACCTGTCACACTGTGGGTGACTGCTTGCTACTGGCCAGGATCATGGGTGGATGCATCCTCTGCACTTTTATGTGAAGTTGTCTGAAATATGGTGATTAATATGATTATTGGAATACTGTATTTTGTATAACTTAGAACATGTAAATACACTTTTAAAACTAATCTGTTCTATGAAGTAATAAATAAGTGCTTCCATTGTAATATCTGAATATTGTTAATGCTTCATGTAGCTTGATTTGGGATTATTTTTTTCCTAGAGAACTACAGAAATCAAAACAAAGATTGATGTTGTGGAATTCTAGTCTAGTTGTGATGCTTTCTATCAACAAAACATGTTTTAAAAATAATAATGAGCTACTTAAGCAGAGAAACTGAGATTTCGAGGGAGTTGATTCTC